AGAGCACCCTGCTTATGCTATACCCTACAATACTCAACCACATTACAACCCACCTTGAGCCAACACATACCCTAAGACACCATGACTATTGCCCCTATTCAAACGACCACTCATTAAATCATGCCAGTTTATGCCCCAAGACCATGCCCTAACCTCGAAACATGGAATCCCAAGAGTTACACCCCAATTGTCGAACATATGGCCTAACTATTCTAAAGGTTCAGAAGAAACAGTCTAATACGCCCGGTTGAAGGAAGAATCCCAAACAAACCTACCAAACACTTTGATGCAAGTAAGCACTGCACATATCATTCAAGTGTCCAAGGACACGACTCCTAAGATTGCTATGGTATGAGGCACGAGATTGAAATGTCGATCAAGAGCAAAGAAATCTAGTGTACCCCCAGCCCCACCAATTGAAATTTGGGTTGGGTGCACTTTGATGTTATTGATGTCCGTTTGGAATTCCGAGTTTGAGAATAGCTCTGTATGGTGATTCTGATATTGGGAGCGCGCCCGGAACGTGGATTTGGAGGTCTGTAGGTAATTTTGGTAGTCGTTTGGTCGAAGTTAGAAATTTGAAGGTTTTTTGTAGTATGTTTGTACNAATCAAATCAATTAAGTCGATTTTTCAAATATTAGAACAAATTAATTAAGTAAGTCGACTTTTTATTGGTTTGATTTTTATCGGGTTTGACGATCTTTTGGTTTATCCATCTTTATAAAAAAAAATCTTAAATATAATACACGGCCAAGTATATATTACGTCGACTATATTGCAGCATAACACTATCAAATAAATTAGTGTGTAAGAAAATAGGTCATTTACAAGATATCTTGATGATAATTGAATTATATAGTGATCGAATTTAAGGATTTAGTTAAAGACCAATTACTTTCAATATGAAATAGTTTCTCTGACTTAGCAAAATAAAAAACTATCAATCAAACTAGAATATAAACGTAATAAACAAGATATTATATATAAATAATCGGTTTAATTTTTTTTTAATTAATTTTTGCTTAAAATTAAAACCAAATCAAATCTGATTGGTTTTAAAATTCAAAACCAAAACCAAAATATTATCTGTATTTTTAGGCCCCGTTTGGCCATGAGTTTTCCCAAATAAATTTGGGATTTATTTTCAAAACTCATGTTTGGCCATAAATTTTGGCCACATTTTGGCAAAATTACAAATCCCAAAATCACCCCAATTGCTGATTTTGGGTCAAAATACCAAAATTTGGGAATTATATACATATTTTTCCAAAATAAAATTAGGAAATATGTTTTGAAAACGTATCTCCAAAAATATTTTTATCTTCAAATCAAACTTTATTGATTTCATTTGTTTTTCGGTTTGATTGGATTTTTCCGTTTTGTATGAAAACCCTAGAGACATAAGCTTCAATTGCTTACTCATAAATTATTCATTGGATATTGACAGTTTTGTTTTTTCACCAATGATTGAAAGTTAAATAAGTTAAAAATTTCCTCCATCTCGGGAACTGCTAATGGCGTCTACTGCTAATTCTCAGTCGGTGTTCAATGTGTTCGTGTATGGCAGCCTATTAGCTGACGACGTCGTTCATGCACTCCTCAAACGCGTCCCTCCCTCTAATCCTGCTATTCTCCACAACTAGTCAGTCCTCTTTTCTTTTTCTATTTTAATTTCTCTCCGCAATGAAAGGATAAAATTCTGTTATTATTACTCATTAGCCATCGATCTTTATATTATACTTTTACGTTTTTTATTTGCGGTTCCGTTTGTACGAAGAAGATGAAGCTTGAATATGTTTTTATTTATTTATTTATGGGTATGGCTGATTGACACAATTTTTTGAGAAAATTAAAAGTGAACATAGTATAAATTTGTGGAATCTAATTCTTGGTCTAACCTGAAATTTTTGGAGGTTATGGATTCTTATTTCGACGTGTTCTGACTCAGAGGTGGAATCGGGACTTAAATTTAAAGAGTTTAACATTTAAGTTCTTAACACTACATCAAATAAATACACATTTGGGAGATGAGTTTAAAATTTAATATTTTTTTCTTCTAATTTTATTACTTTTTCACATGTAATATCTATATTCACAGTAAAAAATGCCAAGTTCAGTTGAACTACCTTTAATATTTCAGTCATAAATAAGTGATATTATTAGCCCAAGGGCTTTGGTCTAGTGGTAAGAGCTAGCACGTGATGTGTGGATTAGGTCGTACGTCAAAGGTTTGAATCCTGCCAGGGGCGAAGCTATGCTCTTCTAAGGGTGGTCAATTGACCACCCTTCGTCAAAAAATTACACTGTATATATAGGTAAGGTAAAATATTAGATTTTAGAGGCATATAACATATATTGAACACCCTTTATCGGGGAATTTTTTTTCCTTCTTTCAAGTTTGAACACCCACTGAATCCTGCATCAGACAAAAGTCCAGTATTTAAGTGGAGATGAGTAGAGCGGTGGACTCATTATCCACGAGTTTAGAACCGTGCTATTGTATGAAATTTCATGCAACTGAATACCTTCAGCATAGTATTCTTCAAACTAGTTGAGCTTGGCTGTATGAATCTGAGTATTCATCCGCTCCATTTGGATATGGGTAATTCTAGTTTTCTATAATATATTTTAAGACAAATTAAGAGTTCTCTATGTTTTCTATTGACATACAAACTCTACAAACTGAAAAGACTCCTAATTAAAAAGATTCCTGGCAAATACCAGATCTAATGTGTAGCAACACGACTAAGCAGGAAACTAAAGAGATGCTTGGTTATGAGATTTGTTTTGGTTTTGGTTGTATGCATTATCAAGTTGTGTTTCCCTGTTGATAATCCTCAAATCCCACTAGTAGGATTTTAACAAATTTGTGTTTACCTTTTCTGTTTCTATAGTTGATTGAGGGATATACTTTTCTAGTATCTTGTTAGGGGTAATCAGTAACCACTGATTCTGTTATTCTGGTGTAGCCACAGGTTTAGCATTAAAGGGCGTGTTTATCCTGCCATTCTACCCGTAGAAAACAAGAAAGTTACTGGGAAGGTTTGTTGAACCTTTCAACATTTTTTTTGTAGAGCTTCCTTTTCTTTTTGTGGTCTATTGTTGTAGAGCATTGACAAGAAGGTCTTTTGAACCATCCGACTTTGTACTTCAGAGCATTTACAATGCCTGTGCTCTGTATTATGTAATTCTTAAGAGCTGTTTTAGACATGCTTAGTGAATCACCAAAATTATTATCATTACAAGCACGATAGCTGCAAACGTTAATACTAGAAGTGATAACAAACTACTAATGCAGTTCTTTGTCATTGAGATCTTATGAAAAATTGGACCTATACCTCAGATCTTCTAAATATGCTTGTTCTAATAAAACTGCAGGTTCTTTTGGATATCACTGTTCCTGAATTAAATATCCTGGACATATTTGAGGACATTGAGTATGAAAGGACGACTGTTGATGTTTCCCTAATGGTATCGATACACTAAAGTTTTTAAAAATTGTTGCATTTGGATTATTCTTTTCATGGCTCAAGCATGATATTGAGCATGAGTCGGATCACTTTAAGAGTTCAAATGTTCCTGTTTTTATTGAGTCGGATCACCTTAAGAGTTCAAATGTTCCTGTTTTTATTGAGTCAGATCACTTTAAGAGTTCAAATGTTCCTGTTTTAATTGGATCTACTGAACTATTCCTGGAGATGGTTACTGCCTCGGATTTATTGAGGCAAAAGATAAATTACTAAGGAGGATATCAGATATCACTTTATTAAGTTTCCTTAGTGCGGCGAATTCTACTCTCGCTTGAGTACTTGCATTTATACAGGTGTAACCTATATAATGCTCTGCTACTTAATTTAGAGCTTTTATACCCTTCACCTTCCTCATCGGTCAGAATTTAGTTTTCAGGAGTGCTACTACAAGGGGAGTTGAAACTTATGTTATTTCCAATAGAATTAGTCTACATTGATTTGTTAAGAATCAGTCTAGTTTGTATGGTTTTGGCATAAATTTAGTGAGACAATTCAGTTTAGTTTTAACTATGCAATTGTATTCCGTTTGTATAGTTTGTCTTCACTTTGCAGGATAGTTCCAAGACATTGCAGGCTGAAACATATGTTTGGGTTGACAAGAAAGATCCAAATTTATTTGGGGAATGGGACTTTGAGGTAAACGTGAGATCTTATATATCTGTGCCTCTCTTAATTGCTTGTTGGACAAAGATACGAAGATTCCAAGAGGAATATACTTTTTTCTCCAGTCCTATCCTCCTCTCTTTTCATTTTGATTGGACTGTGCATCTAGAAAATGTATCATGTTGCAAGGGTTATATCTATTTTTTGGTAGCCTGATTTAAGCCCAACACAGGTCGTGGGATTTGGTCGAAGATTTAGAAGCATATAACCAACATGTCTCCGCCTATCCTAGACTAGGAACCTAACATGTCTCTGCATTTGCGTACAGTAGGATAGTCTGAGCTCTAGAACGACAATTGTTCTACTCAGTAACGGTAAGACTAGTGAAGCTCTGGTTCATGCATCAAACCGAAAAGGAATCAACATGAAGGAAACTTAGGGAAAAGATGCTAGAGCTCTATTCAGATGACAGTTTTGAGCAAACTTGTGTTTTTATTACTTTGGGTATTTATAAAATCTGAAGAATCTTGAGACATTTAAAGGTTGAATATCAAGTCGTTGAGAAGTTTCTCCATTAAACTCCATAGACATTGGAAGTCGATTGGTAAAGTTTGTTTTCCAGCTTAAATCGATATTTGTTCTTCACATTTAACAATTAACTCCATCTTTTGTACTTTAATAGAGATAGAATCTGTAATATCCTTGATGTGTAGTCTTTGTTATGCTTCTTTATATCTGCACCCAATATTCTAGAAAAGCAAGTTTACTTTATCCTTACTGGATAAACAACAATGCTCTAGCATTACTCATGTTTTCATTGTGCTGCTTTCTGCTTTCATTTGTGCATTGTGCTAGAGTTTCAACATCTTTTGTTCCAAGAAGGCTTGATTAGTTATTCCCCAACAGACTTAAATATAACAGAGTTCTTATTTGAAACTTGGAAATATTCATAGTTTTCTCCATCAAATGAAGCAACTTCATTGTTGATTGTCGTGGCGTATGCCATAGCTTCAATGAGGGGATCTTTTATTTATATGTCACTTGAGTGAACGGAAAGTGAGGATTTATGTAGCCTACCACGGCTTCTTGCGATTGAGGCGTAGTTGTTGTTGTTTAATGAATCAAAAAATTGGGAGATCGAACAATATTTAGGAGCCCATATCTTTGGTTTGGTGTATGCTATGAAAACTATAATACTTGTAGAATTCAAAATACCTTCCTTGAATTAAGTAAGCTAAGCTAGATGCAGAATGGATACGCATCAGGAAGGAATAACTGATGCTCATTGATAAGAAGAGAATGGATGCAGTTTGTCATGGTCAACTTTATTAGAATAGGATGACCAAGGTGTTCAACAAGAAAGTGAAACCTCGGCAATTTCATCGGGGCGATTGGTGTTAAAGAAGATATTTCCGAAAAAGACGATGCTAAAGGAAAGTTCGTGCCAATTGGCAGGGTGCGTATATGATCCATCGGGTACTTTCAGGAGGAGTATTAATCTTAGCAGAAATGGATGACAGGGTGAGCACAAAGCCCACCAATTAAGATGCAATCAAGAAGTACTATATTTGAAGACAATCAAGTTAGGTTTTTGCGTACACAAGACTACGCTCGATCAGACTTGCCATTGTTGGGATACGTAGGCAACCCACGTAGAGTCTGGTCCCATTTGTAATAGAAAATTCGAAGATCATTTCCATGTACTAGGAACTATGCCAT